AAAAATTACTTTCACAGAATATTAATAAAACTACAGATATGGATATTATTACAAAAGCATTTAGAAAAATGTTATTAAATGAAGGTTATGATGTAATTATTATATTAGGAGGTGGATCATTTGGTGTGAGGTATTACAAAATATTATATTATAATAATGATATAATTTAATAATAAGTAATATTTTGAATATATTAATTTACAAATTTATAGTTATTCAAAAGATGAATTAAACGTGTATAAAACATTGGCGGAAAATTATGATCAAACTATGCACAAAGAAGCTTGCAGTCTTAGGACTAACAAAGAAAGAGATATAGCTAAATATATCCAAAGAGAATACAATATACCAGTTGTAAGTAGAAATTATTTGATGACAACAGTTCACTTGAAATGATTTTCACAACTTGTATTGTTATAAATATTTTTTTCTAATTATTTACAGATTAATATCAATTTATCATGCTGCAAGTATCCAGCTGCAGATACTATACCAATTATTTGGAGAGGAACTTTAAAACCATTAATGCGACTTGTTCAAGATCTTACAAGTGGTATTCGAGCAATTATTACAGATGATCATGGAACTCCTGTTAGAGAAGCCGTTGTTAAGATTGGAACCAAAACCTATCAGTTATCACGAAATATGGCTTATTTTAAAATAATACTTATTCCTGGAGACTATTCATTAACATTCTTCTGTACAGATTACGCTTTAAAAACTTTGAAAGTTCATGTTGATGAACAAAGTATAACGGATATAAATGTTCAAATGAGAAAATTAAAACCAGAAGAAGTAGAATACAAACAAAATAAGTTAGGTGAACAATTAAGCGTTATAAATCATATTTTGGATAATTTACATATTAAATATCCGCAATTATCAACTTTACATGATATCGGTAAAACAAAAAAAGGCAATCAGATTCTATCATTAGAAATAAGTGCTAAATCAAAGGAAAAACAAACAATACGACCTTCCATCATTTTCTCAGCTGGACTTTCTAATGGAAAACCAGTAACATCTAAAGTACTTTTACAATTTGCTTCTTATCTATTAGATAATTATAAGAACAATGATATTATTACAAGTTATTTAGATAAGCTATCAATATTTATTGTTCCTGATTTAAATCCAGATTTAGTCAAGAATGATTCTTGTACGCCATATATTAATAATGAATTATCATTCCCCATAAATCGTGAATTAAGCAATGAAGCATCTATGATTATTGATTGGTTCAAGCAAATTAATTCACTCTTAATAGTAAATTTAAATATTGGTTCTCGACATATTGAAATACCATATGGAAGTCAATACAATAGAATAGATAAAAATATTTATGAAAGTGATGATGACCAAATACTTAAAGCCTTAGCATCTGCTTATACAAAGTATAGCCCATATAATACTGCAGAATGTGATACAAAATTAAATATCAAGAATAATGATATAATACACGGTGGCAAAGGAATTGCAGGAATTAAAGGAGATTCCTTATTAGATTACATGTATTTAAATACAAGTACTTTAATGATGGATGTTTATATTTCTTGTTGTAATACAGATGATTCAATGAGTGTTTGGCAGGATAATAAAGATAGTTTATTAGCCATGATAAAAGAAATATCTAAAGGTGTTCAAGGATATATTATTAGTGAAAATAATGAACCTATTGAGAATGCTGTTTTGTCTTATGACGATTCTGTTCATCAAGTTAAAAGTGGAACAATAGGAGCATATTGGATTTTATTATCTCCTGGAAGTCATAATATCACTGCTACTGCATCTGGATATATACAACAAACAAGATTAGTTTCAGTACCAGACATAAATAAGTTTACTAATTTAACTTTTAAATTAAGACGCGACGAAAGTATTTTTGGATTCCCGAGATTGGTCTTTATTATAATCACTGGTAAGAAAGTAATATAATATATCTATCTCTCTAAAAGAATAAAATATTAAACTATGTATGTGTTTGTAGGAACCGTATGTCTAGCTATGGTTGTTTGTGGCATTTGTATTTGTGCAATATGTCAATCTTCACAAAATTCCGAAAAACATTATAGAAGAAATTATGCATTTAGTTTACTTAAGGATGGTAAAAGTTTCTTTGACGATGATGAGAAAGAAATTGAAATATTTAGAAGACCATTAACTGGTAAGTTAATTCATTGATCTCAATATCTTTATTTGCTAATATAAAACTATCAATTTGACTTTTTAAATATATCATGAATTATATTATAGAATCTATTTTAAAATATGAAGAAAAATTAACAATTACCAAACCATATTTTGATGAGGATAATGAATCTAGTTCCGATGATGGAAGTGACCTTGAATTTATTAGACCAGAACAAGAATATAATGAAAAAGTTTTACAAGAGACGTGACAATTCGTTATCATTAATACGAATGATGACAATTATATATGAAAGATACAAAAATACAGAAAGAAAATCTCGAAGGTTTAAAAAAAAAAAGTTAACGATAATTAAAATAGACATTACTATATAACACAGAAGGTACTGTAATAATGTTGTTGTTGATATACTAATTATCTTTCTTTAAACATTTGCCATAAATGTCTTCAAGGGAGCAATACTACATTTATAAAAAGTAAATAGAAGTATAGCAAGCAGGGTCCAAATGTAGTTCTAATGCATACATACATACCCTTTTGTATAGATAAGGTTAAGAGCTTCTTTGCTTTTGAAGAAGCAACAAATATTTTAGAAGCACTTTCAACATTTTATTTCTTAGTTTTTATACACTTCTCTTTTTGTAAAAAAAAAAAGAAAAAAAACAAAGAAAGAAAGAAAAACGACAAACCAACAAGGAAATAACAATATATAGATATAATATTAAATAGATATTATGCACGTTAATGTTGGCAATTCTATGCGAATTTTATACACATAGTTTACAATTTTACAATGTATATATATATATATAAAAGAAGATGAAAAAAATTTAAAAGGTATACAAATGTTATGAGCTTTTTAGACAAATGTTTTGTACAAAATTGGAAACCCTTATAGAAAATAGGATTTCATCATGTTAAAAAGAAGAAAGAAAAAAAAAAAAGCCACTAAAGAAATTCTTGTTTTTTGCCAGAAAAAGTAAACACAGATTGTTAAATATTGAGATTAATAATAATAAAGTATTTTTAAAAGAGCAGACATATCTTTGAGATCACTGCTGTCAAAAGTACTTGTTTTTTGACAATGTTATTTTATGAAATGTAAATGCCACTATTATAATATATCAATATAACTGTTCAACAAATATTTCCAATGTATTTTTAGCAATAACGTTAGTACGAGATTCTTCTCTTATAGTTACAAAGTACAATAATTATAAATTTTTAAGCACAGAATAGTCAAAAATTTATAAAATAAATTAAAAATATATAATTATATATATATGTATGATATTGTATTTATGCAAGGTGTTCCGCTTTATGTGAATATTTAAATATTTCTTGTTAATGTTGTTAATTAAAAAAAAAAGTATTTAAAAAAATTATTTATATTAAAAAAAAAAAAAAATTAAATATTATAAAATTATTAGAATTATTGTTAAGACATTTGTCAAAATTTTGTGATAATTTATTTTTCTTGAACTATATATATATCATATCATATATTTTTAATAATATTAAACACACGTATATATCTAAGAGAATTAATATCCTATAAAAAAAAGTATTTTCAAATTTTTCATATCATCAAAGGCAGCAAGGAATAATATTATAAATATATAAATTAAATGGAACAGCCTGTATAATTTACTAAAAATATTCATTTTTCAATTTCTTCTGTATATCGATTAAAGAAATATTTTGAATGTTTCGTTAAAATATTTTCAAAAAAAAAAAAATAAAAATAAGGAATGTTATAACCATTTAAAAATCATTGTCTTCCTACATTGGAAAATAATGAAAGTATACACCCATTATAAAAATTTATAAAAATACACATACATAGATATGCTGTGTAATGTAAATGCGGTTGTGACTTATTTTAATATCCACGTGTATACACAATACGTGTATACAATAATAAACTTCCATTTATAATGCATTCCAAAATAAAGTTGATTTATGGCAATACTGTTGTACTATCTATCTTTTAAATTTTAAGTCCAATATTTTATAAACTTAATAAAATCAATTGTAATGATTTCTTTTTTTTTTTTTTCATTTCTTTTAATATATATATACAACAAATTTTAAAGTATAAAATTATTAAATAAATAAAATTACCTATTAAAATTCTTTAAAATCTAATTTTATTGATGATTAATATTTCTTTTATGAGAGATAAAAAGAAATACCATTGTATGTTATTTAAACATGTAATTCAAATATATTGCGGGAAATTGATTCGAATTATAAGAATCATCTGATAAAAAGGAAAATTGAAATATTATTCCAATTTACGTTACAATTGATTTTTCTACAAGACAGATCTTATTATGTTAAATTATTTATATAAATTAAATTTTAATTATAAAAGATTTGGAATATACTATTAATAATTAATTTATTACATGACTTACTTAATATTCCTTTTCTGAATAGATAAGAAATAATATTGAATTGCACTATTTATATTTTTGTAACAAACAATTTCAATTAATTTTAAACTAAAATTTTATAATTTTGTTCACATGTAACAATAAAAGATTAAAATTTGTGACAACCAATCAAAACTCGTACAACTATTAGTCATATGAAATACAAATCATATTGTTAAATAGATCCACGAATTAAAATTAGTTGATTGGTGTAATCAGAAGGAATGTATGATTTTTGTCCAATGAAAATTTTTCATTTGAAGTATTTTCACTGTTGCGAAGATTGTGAATGGTGCAAAGGTGAATCATACCATATACGGGATTTGCAATGCTAGAAACATTTTTGTAAAATGAGGTTTTAAAATTAGGTCGTCGTTTGTTATTCAGAAATTATTTATAAACTTATTCTCTTAGATTTTTTAACACTTTATATAAATAATTCATATTTTATTTAAAAAGATATATATAGGGTAGGAGAAGGGGAAGTTGATATTTTGATTATTGTGGTTCCGGCGAAGTACAGCAACGAAACCGACCACGGGGGTCGCACGCGGAGTACCGATACGCGTGTACAGTGCGTTCGGATACTAGAAATAACTATTTTTTTAAACCTTACCCGATTGCATTTGCGATTGAATCGGAATCCTACGAGAAATATCGCGTGCTTTGTGTCATACATTGAATAACGACACTACTTGGGTGTGCCGAAACATTGATAAATATGGCGAACAGTATAGCACCAGATTCATGGGAACAGCAGGCAGACAACGGAGACATCGCGCCCGCTCAGGATAAATCCATCGAGAGCAAATTTTCAACTTTAAACGTGAATGCTGCGGAATTCGTGCCTTCTTTCTGCATAAATTCTTCAACGCAGAATAGTTCCACAGCAGTCAGTCCTTGTACTGTGACTGCTGTGCTAAACACCACTGTTACTACATCTATTCCTTCTGAAATACATCATGGTTAGTTGAATATTTATTATCCTTTCATTTATTTTATCTCGATCAATTTGGGACATTATTTTCAAACATATGCGGACTATTTCCTGTTAACATAAGGCCCTACTTTTACCGCGTATCAATGACTAACCCTTTGGTATATCTCCTGTTATCATTATAATAACTTTCTATCATTTTCATAATTCTCTTGCATGTTCAGAGATTATAAACTTCAAATTAATATTATTTTTATATACAGTTATAACAGTTTATTGTTAAATTTAAATGGCTTGCAAAGTAAAAAGTAGATATAATGTTGTTCATAATACACTCTGGATTTGCTTTTAATTTATCTCATTTCTTATCGATTGATTTATATTTATTTTTAATTTAGATTTAACATTAAAATTTAATATATGATGTATATTTAAATATTAAACAATTTGAATGTAATGATTGTTGATGTATACGTCTATTGTAGCACTACTTTAGACTTTGACATGATACAAAGTTTACAAAGTTCTTTCCTATATACGTTATGAGAAATATTTACAAAAAGAACTAAAGCTTTGTATAAGTCATCGTGTCCAAAATTTCAGTATTTACATTTTTAATTGTTATTGAATAACAATAGAAGATCATTGTAGAATGAATAAATATTATTATTAGGTAGGGTAGGGACATTTGTTCTCTAAACAGTACTTCAATCTACTCTGTGATGCTGGCCATTGGAAGAAGTATTCCTTTTCCTATCAACATTCTTATCTGTCAGCTTGCTGTACCAGCTGTTTGTCTTATTCTTTATTACAGACCTAAGCAGTAGCAGAACAAGATTTTAGAGAGCAAACGTCTGATCCCTATTAGTAAGGTGTAAATGCAAGTGTCCGTAAATAGTGATGATTGATGACATAAATTGTTCTAATTAAAAGAAAACAATATAATAAGTTATGTTTTTCTACACAGGAAATTCTACTCCTACGATTCTACCTGATCCAATTGGCAGTAGAGTGGAGGAACCACCTGCTGGAGGAGGGGCACCACCTCCAAATGTTACGGATCAAATAAATACAAGTCCTGAACATCAACCTGCGGATTCTTGGGAAGAAGCAGCCGTAGATGGTGATCCTTTGTTAACTCCAGAAAATGAAGAAGTAAATATAACATTTATATTTTTTATTAATAACATCCTAAAATTTATATATCGTACAAATAATTATGTAATCATAACATATTGTAGACTAATATATATTTCTATCACATTATCTTATCAATATATATATACATAACTTTGTTTTTTTCATCTAGGCTGATAATGAGGAAGATGAAGAAATGGTTGTTAAAATACCTAAAAAAAAGCCAGTTAAAGTTGCAGAAGACACTAAGAGCAAAAAAGAACATGTCAATGTTGTTTTTATAGGTCACGTAGGTATGTAATATGAATTATTATTATTAAAGATGAGAGAGAGAGATGAGATATTCTAATTTTGTTATATAATAAAATTGCATATATTATTGTTAATTGTAGATGCAGGAAAATCTACAATTGGTGGTCAGATTATGGCGCTTACGGGAATGGTGGATAAACGTACTTTAGAAAAATATGAAAGAGAAGCGAAAGAACGAAGCAGAGAAACGTGGTACTTAAGTTGGGCTTTGGATACGAATCAAGAGGAAAGAGAGAAGGGAAAAACAGTAGAAGTTGGTAGAGCGTACTTCGAAACCGAAAGAAAACATTTTACAATATTAGATGCTCCTGGACATAAAAGCTTTGTACCCAATATGATTGGTGGAGCGGCGCAAGCTGATTTAGCAGTTTTAGTTATATCTGCAAGAAAAGGTGAATTTGAAACAGGTTTTGACAGAGGTGGTCAAACGCGAGAACATGCTATGTTGGCTAAAACTGCAGGAGTTAAACACTTGGTTGTATTAGTTAATAAGATGGATGACCCAACAGTAGAATGGGATGAGGGAAGATATAATGAATGCAGGTATATTATCGTTTTATTTATCAAGTAACAAATTTTTGGTTATATTGTTAGAGAAAACAAATCTACTTGAGAACGTATTATTTCAGAGATAAGATACTGCCATATCTACGGAAGTTAGGCTTTAATCCTGCAAAGGATCTTACATTTATGCCAGTATCTGGTCAACTTGGTATTGGTCTTAAGGATCCTATACCTGAACATTTATGTAATTGGTACAGCGGTCCTCCATTCATACCTTTTATTGATTCCTTACCTTCGCTTAATCGTAAAAGTAATGGGCCCTTTATTATGCCAATTGTTGATAAATATAAAGATATGGGAACAGTTGTTATGGGAAAAGTTGAAGCTGGAGAAGCCAAGAAAGGCCAGTCGCTATTGGTTATGCCGAATAGGGTAAGAAATATGTTCTTTATTATTGTACTTGCTAATGTTAGATTTTTTCATAATGTAGTTCTTACTAAAATCATGTAAAATGGATTTTAGACGGCAGTAACAGTTGATCAATTATGGTCAGATGATGAAGAAGTTACGTCGGTTGGACCTGGAGAAAATGTTAAAATCAAATTGAAAGGCATTGAAGAAGAAGACGTGAGCCCCGGATTTGTTTTATGTGACAGTAACAACCCTATTAAAACCGGAAAAGTTTTTGATGCTCAAGTTGTTATTCTGGAACATAAGAGCATTATTTGTGCTGGATATAGCGCGGTAATGCACATTCATTGCGCTGCAGAAGAAGTGACAGTGAAGGCGTTGATCTGTTTGGTAGATAAGAAAACTGGTGATAAAAGTAAAACAAGACCAAGGTTCGTTAAGCAAGATCAAGTGGCAATTATGAGAATTGAATGTGCAGGAGTTATATGTCTGGAAAGATTCAAATTATTTGCCCAAATGGGAAGATTTACACTTAGAGATGAAAGTACGTATATATAATATATTTTATTTAGTTGATTTAAAAAAATGACTAAAGTAAATTTGAGTAAATAATAATATTAATACGATTATATAGATAAAACAATTGCCATCGGTAAGGTGCTGAAAGTGGTGGAATAAAATGTTCATTCATAATCACGAAGTAAGGATGCAAGCCAAACGATATGATACAAGGAAACAAAACCGGCATAATGGACTATTCCCGAATGTTAGCTAATGTAACATACACTCATTAACGCAAAAGGTTCTGCATATGACGGTACACGCGCGTGCATATGAACAGAGATATGGGCATCAGGGCTGGGAAAGTATGACCTAAATTGGAAAATATATTCCATCGCAAAAGAAAATAATTAAGGAAACAAATACGACTCGAGAGCGTGTGTTCCTTTTATTAGATAAGAAAGTTGGTGGCACTGAAGAGTTATTCCTTGCATCGGAATAAGTAATATACAATACTAACAGACTTTCCTCTTGACAATGTAAAACACGATATTTTTATTCGTCTGAGGTGCAAAACATAATTGAGAGCAAACGAGAGAATCGATATCGATGGCAGAGTAAGAATAAAAAATATGATGACATTATAATAATTATTAAATAATTATTAAATTGGTGGTAAGAGGTGAAAAAGAAATTTATCAAATAAATAAAAAAAAAAAAAATAAAAAAAAAACTAGAGTTACACAACAATTTATAATTATAAAATTAATATTATTATTATTACGATTATTATTATTATACTGTTTCTTATTTTATTGTCATTAAAAACAAATTTGCAACACACAAATCTGCTCTGATAATTTTGATAGGTCTCTCACATATATGTTAATTTCGTTTGGGAGTGGGAAATATGTGATATTCCTCAAAGTTGATATTTTTCGTGGGATGCTGAATGAAAGATATCAGATTGTCGGTATAACATAATTAAAACTTACAGGTTTTGAATTATTAGCAAAAAATTGTAATTTGTTATACATATAGTTATGTAGTTACGAGCCTACCGTAAAGTTTATAGTTTATCTATATTCTTGTAAGTACTGAGAATTTTTAACTATAAATATTGCAAAAATATCCTTATTGCATTCTTACTATATTATTTATAAAGAAAGTAATAAAAGAATATAACTACATCTTAGAAACGCTCAGATCATGCTTTGAAGACCACCTTCAAATAGAAAGACACAAAAAGTTATGTCTGATTATGTATAATCTAATTGCATACAATCTACTTTGCTATTATTCGCAAATGTTATTAAATAATTTTATTGTTACCACTGTAAACATATCAGTTTCCAATTTTTTAATTATTAGTTATGGTCAAATCGTAACGCATTTTATTTTACTATAATAATAAATGTCTTACTTTTTAATCTTGCTTGCAATTATAGTAAATAATGTGAATTTAATTTTATATGAGTCTCTATATGTGACAATTGTAAGTTTAAGCTAATTTTTTAAATTACAATTATAAATTAAATCATGAAATATTGATCATGAAAATTATTATCGAGAAAATAATAGATTTTATAAGAATCATATGACATGTTATTTATTTCACAATATACAGTCCGTTTGCTTTTTGAATACTTCGAAATGGTTTGCCTAACAATATATGTTATTAACAATGTTTAAACATATATATATATAATGTTTAAAGTTACTAAGTCAGAATATAACTAATGATTTATTTTTTTTTTTCATTTTCTTTTTATTTTTCTTATTGTTTCTCGAAATAATTATGATATGAGTGGTGAAAGTGCAAATAATATATATATAAATATATATATATATATATAATTACATATTGGCAGCTTTTATTATAAATAATTAATTCTATATATAACGAACAAAAACTATAGATGAAAAATACGTTTAGTTTATCTTAATTTATGATATATACTTTTATGATCTTATCTGTGTCTATGTGTATATATGCTCGAAAAATAAAATATTCATATATTTTATTTTGCCAAACTATATCAAAGATTATATTATAACGAATAAATATATTCGTTTCTTAATAAAATATCAATACTTACAAGAACAGAATAGATCATGAAAAACTAGAATTGCTAAGTAATTTGTTACTATTTTTTGCTAATAAAAAAAAACCGATGTATCCGCTGCACTCTTCTTGTTTTCAACTTTTTAACCTGATTTTCCATTAAAAAAAAAAGCTTACATAAACGATAAGGGCATATACAAATGTCACTTTTTATAAATTTTACAATGTTCCATTCATTAATAATGCTTTAAGCACCTTACTCCGTTTCAATACGATAATACACGTGAAATTAAAAATATAATAAATTACATTATATACTCTTGTCTTTAATTTTATAATTATGATTAAATAAGAACAAGATTTAAAAAAAAAAAAAACTACAAATATAATGTCATATTAGATAACGTAATATTTAAATAACAAATTATTATTTTTCTATCATTTTATTTCATCTAAATGCGACATTTTTTTTTTATATATATATAAAAATAATTGTTAATTTAATTTCAATACAAAAATGAATTTAATTCCATATTATATAGGATTTATTGTACCGAATACAAATTAACTATCTCTACTATTATTTCTTCTAAAAAAAAAAGAGCTTAGAAGATTTGAAAGAATATCTCATTTTTATAAAAACAAAAAAAACATTGTCAAAATATCATTAAACTTACATAAAGAAATTTGATTTTATGTACCTTGCAACATCAACGACAGATTGAACAACACATGAAGTTGGAAGATAATGTCATGATCCCGTCTACAAAGCAATTGGTGAGTCCTAAGGAGGATCTACCTCCATGAGCTATATGCTTCTAGAGATAATAAATAGATATATTAATGTTTTTACGATAGAGATAACTATGCGTAATTGTAAGAAAATTATGAAAACAAAATTTTAATGCTATGTTAAATGAACTTAATTCCTGCCAATGAAAAAGACCCATATCATAAAGAGAAGTTACTAAATATATTTATATATAGTTAAAGTGTTTTATTCACCAAATTATTTTATATGCTAAAGAAAAATAGAATCACATCATTCTCTTATGTATATGATAATGAATCTTTGTTACTTATTTTTCGATCATTAATAATTAACAGATTGTTTACAAATTTATGCACAAGAACGTGTACTCATGCCAATATTCTGTATAATATATTGCCTTACTTTTACACACTCTTTATTATTATACTTTAATACCTTCATTCCCCTCTCTAAAGATTGTGATATATTTAAATATATTCACAAACGTGACCACAACCGGTAGGACATTGACGATTACTACGAAACCATTCCTTCAAATGCATCACATGTCCTCCATGTGTGCAACCTTGACACCATGCGTATAATCCTCTAACAACCTATAATTAAAATAATTATTATTTTCAGCAGTCATTCAATAATAATTGTATCAACTGTTGAAATCAATATGTACTGTATTACTTGATGGCAAATAGAACAAAGAGCATGTTTGGATGAATGACAACGATCACACAACCACGCTGCTCGTTGTAAAGGTTTAGTACATGTTAAACAACATGCATGTATAGTTGTTGATTGTTGATTTAATTGTGCAATAGATGGAATCCATGCTGACTGTATTATCTATAAGATATTAATACAGACAAACAAATTTATTGATATGCTTTAAAGCAAAAAAATGTTAAATTTAGTTGTCTATTACAAACCTGTGTAGTCACATTCCAAAGTTTAAATCTTCCCAATAAGTCTATATATTCTAATAGCCAATGTTCCTGAATTGGTATGTCAATATTTAAACCTTTTCTTTTTTCACCCAAAGCAATAAGAACAGATGCAGAAGTTTGAATATCCCTAAGTGCTGCATGATGTTTTAACGCTTCTTCAATCAAATGTGTAGGATCCCAAAATGATGGTTTTGGTATAGCTGTTACTATTAATTGACATGGCTGATCATCAACCATTACAGAAACAGAATCATCATTGATCTCTGGAGAATGATTAGGAAACTGTTCTGGTGGCGGAGATCGATCTTTTATTTCATGTCTTAAGGGGAATGCTTCTTTAGGCAATGTCCAATCACTGTCATCATTTATCATATTTTGAATATATCCAGTACTGTAATCTGTACTAATTGGTTCAAATTCGCTATCCCCAAATAGAAAATCTCCTTTAGGTTGACCTTTATGTCCCAAAAAGGACTTCCTGTAACTTTGTTTCTTTTAGGATGTGTAGCTACACTAAAAAGGTGCTATATCGACAAATTAAAGTCTCTTATATTATTAATATTATCAATTAAGTATTACCTCGGTAATATGCTACTTATAAAGTTTAAATTTTCTGGTGTATCGTCTGTTTCAGTTTCATCGTCACCACCACTCGTCGCACTAGTAGGTGCTTCTCCTTGTAAAGATTTGATATCATTTTCATGTCCTTAAACAAATTATAAAATATATTATGCAAACGAAAATAATTTTGACTTAACAGAATAATCATGCCTATAACTAATACAATCCTTACCTGGATTTGACTGATCAAGAGCAGATACTTTTACCATTTGTCCTAAATTTAATGTGTTTACTATATCTTCCTTGGAAACAGTTGGAGGAGTTTTTAAAATTGCACCTAATGGATTTGTATATAATGTTTTTATAATATTCCAAACAATGCTTACCTAAAAAAATATTGTTATTGGAAATTATTCTTTCAGCTTTAATCAAATGTTATTTTACTTAATTTATTATTTAAACTAAACTAAAAGGGAAATTATATAGTTGTTTTTATTATAAATATAAGCTTACATCATTTCTACCTGCATTGCTGGCAACAGCAGCATTATGATCACAAATATCTTTTAATTTTCCAGTAAGTATGTAACCTTCGGCACATATCTTAAACCAAGTTGGATCACGTGGTATATTTACAACAAATCTGTGCATCACACTTGAAGCCATACAGAATGTATCATTCGACGCTGGTGTTTTTCTATTGATAAATATGTATATATTAATAAATAATAAAAAACATAAAATATTAAAATATACAAACCTTATTATATTAGTTAATTGCTTGACTGTACTAGGCATATTTACATTTACTTTGCAGGCATAAGCAACATCTCCGATGGGACTTAAAGCAATGCCTTGCGGATTCGCTTTACTAGCTGGTCTAGAAGCATCTTTGAATACGTGATGATATAAAGTGCAATCCTGATTATAAAAATATTTAATTATTTTCTAATTATGAATAAAAATATAGAAAAAAAAACAAAGGAAAAAAAGTATTAACATTACCCTGCTTGTTGATAGGAATGATTGTGGATTTCCTCTCCACGCTACACCAGTAG